ATGATGATGATGATGATGATGATGATGATGATGATGATGATGATGATAGTTCAACCATCGCGGACGATGGTGCACAGGTCCCCCACGAGATACGCCCATCAATAGCGGCTCTCTCATGATTGAGTAGACTTCAGTCGTGATTGAGCAGACTTCTTTCGCATCAACCTAAACCTCGTCTCTCATACTCATCATGCCCAGATGAAAAGGGAAAGTTTTTAAGGCCGGAAGTGAGCTTGGACACAGTGGTTAACATGGCTAAACAGCTAGCTACGTGGGGGCACCTAGGCTCTGATCACCATTTCGTGTACTGTGTGAATGCAGGGAAGTAATCGGTCTCGCATAGATGAGAATTTCATGTAAGCCATTTTGAGAAGGAGTTATTTTATCATGGCCCTCATTAATGAACGTTCACCGACCGACAACGGAATTAAATTGTCTCACTCTGACTTGGATCTCATTACTCGGACCCTGATGGTAAACGTAGCGGCTAGTAGTTTAGGCAGATCGTATTGGCGGCAAAGACAAGGGAGACTGGAATGGCCATTTCTGGCTTGTTAGCCCTCATCAGTCAGTCATACTCAATCCCAAATATTGCACTACCCGAGGCTCTAACTCACGACCTTTCGACCAGAGTCTAAGGCCCTAACCATTGAGCCCCAGGGTCGTTGTCTTGCTGGCTTAGGTCGGGAGATATTGACACTCGTTTATGAACGTTCACCGACCGCTAACGGAATTCACTTGTCCCGTTCTGCCTTGGGTCTCATTTCTCGGGCCCTGACAGCAGTCGTAGCGGTTAATAGCCTAGGCTAACAAGCCAGATATGACCATTCCAGTCTCCCTTGTCTTTTCCGGCAATACTAGTTGTATCATGACTCTCAGTTCCGGAAAGAAGCAAGTTACCACGTCGTTTGGCAACCTGCCAAATAACACCTCTTAGCACATCAGATAAGTTACAGTGAGGACTGTATTAATTTGCCCTGAGGATAAATTCCCAGCTATCGACCTCACTTTCTCTTCCCTAGCTCATAAATCAGGGGCAAGCTCTAATCACTGACACGATATTGTGCGCAATGGCTGAGAGAAAACTTGACAGCCATCTCTGCGTGCCACGCATGACCTTGTATGAGGATATGCATAACAGGCTCTTTTCGCGTAATTAAGACGTGCACAATTTCCTATGGGGTGCTTTACCCATAACACACCTTGATAAATTAAATTTTATTTGTTTTGTAGGAAGCCTGTAGGATGTGCTTCTTATGGTTTACAGTAGAACCCCGGTTAACGGGTTTAATTCGTTTCAGCAGCGAGCTCGTCACGCGAAACGCTCATCTTGTGAAACTTAGCCAATCAAACTGTGTCACTTCACTGATTGACTGTGGGTGGCCGAGGACCCACGCCCTAGGAGCAAAATTCAACGGCGGACACATGCACACGCACGCACTGAAAATTCGTGGCTCGCTTATT